TTCCCCCTCCCCCCCTCCCCACCTCTTCCTCCCTCCACAGGCAGCCGCTCCAGCCTCGCGGTTCGCACCGCAGCCCTTTCTCCTCCTCCTCCTCTTACTCGCCAGCCTACTCTAGCGGCAGCGGCCTTGGAAAGGGGCCCCGACTCTGCCCAAACGACCGAATCCGGTTCTCTTGTGCCAGACACCTGGCAGAGGGCTAAAATGGAAGAAAGGGGGGTGAAGGAAGCATGAACTCTCCTGCTCTCTCGTCCTCTCTCGCCACACAGGCTCCAGGACGGGCACTGACCGAGCCTGACTTCCCAGAGAAGACCCTCCCTCTCCTAGGCTCGCCTTTCCTCCTTCCTCACAAGCAGCTAGCAACTGCAGTGGGACCCCCTAGAAGCAGCACCCACCTGGGAAGGGCCCTCCCCTCCCCTCCCCTCGGGAGCCCCTCCTATGACCCCCTTGAGTTTGGAGGGGGCGGCCTGGAGGAGAAAGCCGGGGCTTTGACGGAGTGGGTACAGTCTTCCCGCACCCCGGGACTCGCCCTCCCCCCACCCCCATGCTCCCGCGTACACGGGGCCCCTTCTTTCCCCCTCTCCCCCCGCCCTTCCCAGAAAATCCCTGGCGGGGCGGGAAGGGGAGAAGGCGGCCCCACCGCGAGGCCCGGCCCTCTAGGCAGTCAATCAGGGCTTTGTTTGCGCCAACCTGGAGTCTGGCTGAGCTGCCGAGGGCCCGGTCGGCAGCAGGGGCAGGGCCAGGGCCAGGAAGGGAGGGAGGTGCTGTGGCACCAGAGGGGGCCGGGCCAGGGCGAGGGCGGGAGCCAGAGCTCAACGTTGGCTCCTCCCCCTGCCTGTCTTGGACTGCAGAGCACCGAGCTTGGGTGGGGTCCAGCCACCACTTGGGCAAGGGCAACGCCTCCCCCGATGGCTCGGCTGTGCTGAGCCCGCGGGCCGCAGCAGCCCCTTTTCAGGTGCTGGGGACTCTACGTGGCCGTTAGCAGCGGGGTACTTACCAGCACCCACCGCCCCTGTCATCCTCAGAATGGGGTGTTTCAGGCATCCAGACAAGGGAGTCCCATTGGATGTTCAAGATTCAGGCCCCAGACCCATGAGGTTAAAAGAAAGTTTGCTCCGTAGGGAGCAGGACAAGGGGTGTGGGGTACATCTGCCTCTCCGGAGAGATAGATGGCTGTCTCTTGGGGCCAGTCGGACTAGCTTGGGAAGCGCCGTCTCCTCCAAGTGCCTGCGTGTCCAGTGCACTAAGCCTGAGGCCTCTGTGTGGTTATCAGCCTCAGGATTCTCTGAGCAGGGGGTAGGTCAACGCCAAGCCCTTTCTCCCTTGAATCGTATTGATCCTCCTGCTGGGTTAAATCGTTGCATGCGTGACTGCTGAAAGTAGAGGCCACGGCTGCCTGGCTTCACTGGACGCCAGGGAACGCGCTGTCCTTAAGCACCTGAGGATGAGCCGAACTGGGCAGTAGAAAAGGGGGGGTGGGGGGGCAGGAGCTTGAGACGAATCAGACTAATTCACGAGTCATGGGGATGGTGCCAGTCAGCAGAGTAAAGATTGCCTGAATGAGTAGAGTATGTCCATGATTTTCCTGTGGTAAGTATTAGGATCACCTACTTTTTGCAGATTTGAAAACTGAGGCTCAAGGAGGTCACGACATTTATTTGCCTAGAGTCACGGGGCAAATCAAGGACAAGGTGAAATTCAAAGCAGGTCTCTATCCAACAAAGTCGCATGCTCCCTGTGCTCCAGAGGGCATCTAGGGGTGGGGGTGGAATGGGGGGACAAGGACTGAGGAGATAGCCTGTGATCTAGCTGAGTTTTCACTGCTGTGGAAATGGTCGCCAAAATCGGCCTTGAATGCTTAGTAGGATTTTAACAGACAAGAGTTGGGAAGATGACTCCCCAGCATGCCCTGAGCTTAAAGCACCTAGGCATAGGAGGACTCTCCTCATAGAAAGAAGGAAGTGAAAGCTAATCAGCTCAGGTTAATATGTATGTATGCTGCCTCTCCCAGGAAATATTGGCATTTTAATAAGAATCCACAATTCTTTAGCAAGTAGACGTTATGGGCACTGGAGCTTAAGATTTGCTTTTTATGTCAGGGGCCTCACCATACATGTGACCAACGACCTGCCAGTGGAACACTGGCTTTGATTTCTATGTATAGATCATTTAACTGAGGCTCTGAAAAGGAGTATTTCCAAACCCAGAACTAATAAGAGACCCTGGAGTCTTGCTCCCCATTCAAACTCCTACTACCTAAATTCTATTATTCTCATTGCTTCAATTGGCTTTAACTCACTGGAGTGGGGATTGAGGGTGGGTGGCAGCACTCAATGAGAATCTCCTGTGAAGCTAGCCTTTTACATGCATGATCTCATACATTTTCCATAGGAGCCCTGTACAGTTGAAATTATTCATCTTTGTTTTATAAAGGAAGAAAGAGAGTCCAAGAGAGTGTCAGTTGTTTAAGTTATATAAAGCCAATACGATAGAAGTGGGGGGGTTTGTTCATTTGTGTGTGCTTCAAAATATGTGCCCCACCCAGCAGATAGGATTATGTGATGTAACCTCCATCCAACCGTTCTAACAACACATGAAGTACCAACAATTTCTCCTCTCTTTAGAAGCAGTTTAGTGGTCAGAACACTGGTATCAGGAGACCTGGCTTCTAAACTTGGTTCTACCATTTTATGCCTATGTGATCCTATGCGAGTGGTTTTCCCTTTCTGAGCCTCAATTTCTTTATATGTAGAATGGGTTAATAAATACTTGACAGGATTATTAAACCCCATGATGAAATGCACAGGCTTTATTTGGGATCTACATGGGAGTCACTAGAGATTTTTGAGTTGGAGAGTAACATCAGATCTACATTTTAGAAAGAAAACTGTGGTGACTAGATGGAGGATGGCCAGGAAAGAGATTAAAAGAAACCAGTTTGGGGGCTTTTGCAATAGACACGGTAAAAATATTGATGATCTCAATTAGGGCACTGGCTGTGGGGAACGGAGGGTTGGCTTCATGAAGCATTGTTATGGTAGAGTTGACAGAAGAGATTCCCATGGCGAGGGAGAATCAAAGATGCTGCTGGCATTTCTTGCTTCTGTGCAAAAGTAGAGGGTGGTAATAGTGGTAATAGAGCTTGGTAATTAGGGGTACTAGCAGGTCTGAGGTGCCTGGAACTTCCTGTCTTTTCCCCCTCCAAGCCATCATGTCAATTGCAGCTTTGAAATGATTCTTATCACAATATGCCTCCGATTTTAAAACCATCGATGATTCTCCATTTAACTGTACAGCTGATGTTTGCCAGCCAGGCATAGAAAGGTCTTGTATAATATGGGGCAGGCCTCATTCATTCATTCATTCATTCATTCAGAAAACATTACTCAGAGCCTGTATGTGCCAAACTAAGTACCAAGGACACAAAAAGAAAACACTTGGTGCCAGATTTTAAGGAGTTCCTATCCAACCTGTTTGGCACTGCTTTATGTGATTTTCTCCCTTCCATCCACACGAGACTCCAATAACACTCGGTTATCCACCCTTCTACAAGTAACAGGGAGCTATGGCTCTTCCTACTGTGATCACCCCATTCTCTTAACTGTCCTCCTATTGAAATTCTACATCTTTCCTGAATCTCCAGGAAGGGTAGGAAAACATGGGTTCAACAAAGTAGATAGTAGGACTAATGTTTAACTGAATAGGCATCCCTCTTGCCATTGCCATACCAATCACTCATTCATTTCACAAATAATTGTCAAGAAGCTATTGTGTGCCAGTCATTATTCTCCTAGGCACTGGGACAGAGGAGGCTTTTGACACCTCTAGAGACTCACAGGCTCAGAAACCCTCATGGGCAGTTGTACTCAGTCCCACAGGGTCACTATGAGCCAGAATTTACTTGATGACACTGAGAGTGAGATCCTGACAGAGTTTGAATTTTAATGAAAAAGTACCAATAACTAGAAATACCAGGAAAAAAGAAAAACAAACAAACGCTGCCATCTAGTCTAGGCAGACTCATAGTGGCCCCATAGGACAGGGGAGAATTGCCCGCTGGGAGTTTCCAAGACTGTAACTGTCAACCAACTGACAGACAAGTGAAATACCAGTTACAGTCTTGGAAACTTGGTAGCTTCTGCATTGCTGTGGGTTGGAAGTTATATCACTGGTATTTCAAGTGCCAGGAGTGTCACCCAAAGTGAACACGTTCGGCAGAGCTTCCAGACTAAGAACACACTATGAAAAAGACATAGGCTGTTCACTTCAGAAGAATTAGCCACAGATAACCTTGTAGATAGCATCAAGATATTGTCAGATACTGAAAACCCAATATTATCAGAGAGAGTGTCAGAAGATGAGCCCCTCGGGTCAGAAGGCACTCAAAATCTGACTGAGGAAGAGCTGCCCTCTCAAAGTAAAGTTGTCCTAATGGTGGGGGCTAGAGTAAGGTCTTCAGAAGATAAAACTTTTAGGACCTTCATTTGCTGATGGGACATGGCTCAAAATAAGAAGAAACAGCTGCAAACATTTATTAAGGGTGGGAACTTGGAATG